CAGTGTGGTCGGAATATTAAGAATAAATATCCCAAATGGTAATTTTTTTGTCAAATGATAATTCTTTTGTTAAGTAACTGTTTTTCGAACAAAATATTTTGCAGCCAAGGGTAGAAGTGGAAAGGAAGCCAATCAATGAAATTCTTGAAGCGAAATTTGCAGCACTACAAGCCTCAAGTTTGCATGTTTCCTCTTTATCTTCTTAATTAAATTTTAATTGATTAGTCAATTAATTAAACACTAAAAATAAGATAAAATACTTTTTGTCCAAATTAATTTTTGAACTGAACTAAACGCTTTGAAATTTGCATGAAATTTGGACTGCTTACAGTTGGAATCGAGAATATGTCGTATGGCAGAGATCGACGCAAAAGTGTCCCAAACTTTCCAAGGAAAGAATCAACGCCCGTTGGGAACGTAGCTACCGGACGTAGTAGGAGCTGCGTCGAGAAGATCGCGAAAAAGCGGTTGAGCATGGACGAGGCAGCTCTGCGGAAAACATCTGTTCCAAAAACAGCATTTCAGCAAATATATTCACGCATGCCCGTCATACCAACAATCATCGAAACGCTTGCTCCGGACGAAGATGGTGCATCTGAAGCCGCGCAATCAATTAGCAATTTCGTCGAACCACACAGACACACTTTCACTGAAGAACTCCTTGACAGCAGCAACAGCAGCAGCAGCAGCAGCAGTTCCACGAGCGGCAGTAGTCCCATCTCCCCCGGTGCTGACCAGCAATCTAGTGGACAATCCGCTGTTAGGGCGCAACACAAATTTATCCCGAAGGAGCCTGATATTAATTTCATACGAATAGAAGAACCATCCGGATCCAGCTCTGCTGTTCAGTGTTATTCAGAGCAGCACCCAATTATTATAGGCCCATCATCCGAGAGCAGCTCGGATTCTAACGAAATTGATCAAGGCTTGATTATAAAAATTGACCCACGATATGGAGAAGAACCTAGTGAATTTTCTCATACTCCGGCAGGTCGGAATTTAACAACTGATGTACCAAGAACTCGACCGACAGCTTCTGAGCCGTTTAATATAAGTTTTGCTGGACTGAGAAGGGGCAGGAGAGAACCCGGTGAAGAACAATCCAGAACAGGGCGGACCGCTCGAAACGACGAAATTCGTTCTCAAAAACCGAGTAATTTATGAGAACTTTTTTATTTTTTTAGATGAAGATAGCAAAGAGATACCAAAAATCCATCGGGCAGGTGGTATGAGATATGCAGCCAAGGTTGAAGAGCTACCGTAGATGCGCCTGGCATATTAATGCCGAACTGGTTCGCACAGATGGTCCGGGCATTTTTGGTACCATGGGCAGATCCTGAGGCGGTTGGGGAGAAGAGTCTCCTCCCACCCTGGAACTGTGCAAAGCTAGGAATAGAGTTGTAACACTGCTTCATAAAGTTACTTTAGTTTAGAGTCACTTTAGGCTTTAGTTTGCTTCAGTTTTAGTTTTTAATCCGAACTTTTATAGCACTGGTGCCTGTGCCGCTGAGGGGGCGGGAGGGGGGAGGGTGGGCAAGGACGAAAGACCTATCGT